CACAGCAGCTCCCTCTGCCCAGGGACCAGCTCTGCTCTTCCCAGATTGTCCCAGCATCCCAAGAGCCAGGCCCCTGGGCTCAAGGTGGCCAGGATCAGCCCAGTACCCACTGGGAAGTGGGCACAATCCCACAGTATTCGTCTGTCTTCAGTGAGGGCATTTGGTTTTATTTATGATTGTAAACATGTGGCTGGTGGCTCTGATCCTCTGAGGCCTCCAGGCACAGCTGCAGAACAAATCATAGCCTGGAATCTCTTCTGGGTGAGGTATTTCCTCAGTGTAGTCAAGGGATTAAACTAATAACACCCAATTTCCCACTATGCTGATATTAAGGAAAATTACTCTGTGGGAAACCAGGAGCTCATTGGTTCAAGTACATTTTCCTTTGGGAAAGTCTCTTCAGGGGAGTTTTCTTATTTTTATTTATCATCACAGGCAAACTCTTCCATTGTATGTTGGCTGGCCATGTTTCTCTGTATTTTAAGTGGCTTGCCAAAGCAGGGCTTAATATTATTTATCTTATTCAGTATTTTTCTTAGCATATAATTTAAAAAGCCAGAAGGATAAAAACAGGTTGTCCTCCTGTGCTATCTACTTTTCAAGCCTGGCTTCACTAGCCAGTGCAGGTTGGTAAGTGTTTTACCTCTACTGTGTTACCTGTGAGAGTTGTGTGGAATCAAACCAAAGGAATTGGGTCTAATAGATCCTTATTGCACAGCTGGTAAAAAAACAAGCTTATGGTTTATTTTCCTAAATATCAGATAAGGGGTAGACAAGGTCTATTTCCTGCATGTAACAAACTGTCCCTTTGAAAGGGAGGACACATTAAAATGAATTGTCTGGAAGAACAGAAATATGTAGCAAATGTAAGTTGTACTGTTTGATTTAAGATACAGTAAGCATCTTTCCTTGAACACATTCACTAGCACCAGGTAGTCTGGTTGAAGTGAAGATTCAAAGGTAACTTGGAAGACAAGCTTTTCCTTTTGTTTTGTCAGTCACAGGAATTTATTATTATAAAGAAACTAGCAACACTTGTTCAGGTGTTTGCCAGTCACCAGGCAAATAAAGTTACCCATCACATTCCACAGCTAGGCACACTCTTGTACAAACTTGGACAGAACAACTTTTATGATGGAGCCAGTGAAGGAATAACTTCTTCCAGAATTTCATACTATATTCAGGAAAGGAGAATGGCAGCTTTTAAAGATATCAACACTACTATCCCAACTGAGAGGAAGAAGGATTTGTGAGTATTTGGAGTCAATATCCTCAATGTTCTTTGCTGTGCCAGCAGATATCATAAACCCTCAAATGCCCATGGTCAGAGAATTTACATTGCCTCTGTCTGACAGATCTGGCTGTGAAGATGCACGAGGAGTTTCAAGAATGATGTATCTGAGTATAGCCTAAGCTTTCCTGGATAGTTGAGAAATGCTTATGAATTTATGAATTTTAATAATTGCTGACAGCTACTCCATGTCATTCACTTTGCATATAGAATAGCAATAAAAGGTAAGATTATGTGATTTCAAAACCAGTTTGAGTTTTGTTTCTGCCTTTAAAAAATCAACAATCATATGTGTTAATCTTTAGATCCTGTGCTGGTATATTATCATGAAAACACTTTAAATATAAGTTTCTATGGTGCTTTGTTCAAGATTTTGTCAATATGGTCCTCTTAGTTCTTACTATTATTATTGACCAAAAGGTTCTAATTAATGATCTAGGTCATGATTCAGTGTCTGCTAGAGACAATGCAAAGCATCTTCACTGATATCTGAAGATATGTTGAAATGTCTAGAATATCTGATTTTATATCCAAAGATAGAATGTTAACATGGAGATATAAACTAAACTGAAGAGGATTTGAGTATATATTTCTTATACCTGAATTTTTAGAAAAACAAAATATAAAAGTATTAACTATTTGATCTTTTACAAAGTTTTTTTAGTACCTCACCAAAGCAAAATCTATGAAACTAAATTACTGATATGGAATAAAACCAGCAAGTGGCAGTATTTGACAAAATTTGTGAGATGGATAGGAAGCTTTTAAAAGCAAATGGAGATTTACACTATATCTAACTATAAGGTAATCACTTCTGCTAGCATTTAGAAAGAAACATATCTCATTTCCAGCATATTGTTTTTCCTTTTCTTTTTCTTTTTTGTTAGGTCAACTCTTCAACTACAGAAATTGGAAACAGAAGACAAATTTCCCATGGATATTTATATGCAGGGTCAACAAAAATGACCCTGCACATTTTATAAAAATTCTTCTATAAAAACTGGCTAAGAATAGAAACACATATCAAAACTATTTGGAAGTTTTATTTATCAGAATTCTTCCCTGCCAGCAATTTAGAATAGCATGCAATGAATATTAAAATCATAAAAAGATAGAACTGTTTAGGAAAAGATCACCTTTAAGATCACTGAGTCCAACTATAAACATAACACCTCATCGTTCTGGATTCAACAGGGCATAAAAAAAAGTCTAACTTAAATGACTTAGAAGGCATCAATAACATATTCACCAAGAGCCTGGAAGTTGCATGTAACAAATTGCAAGAATGCTAAAGCATGTTACATCTAAATTGCCTAAGGACCATGAGAGTATCCATGCACTTTTATTCTCACTGTCAGAATTACAGGTGTAATAGCAGATACTTCTGAGGCATAGCACAATAGTCCATCAAGATCCCAAATGCTAAAAACTTTTCAGAACAATTTTAATTTCCTATAGAAAACATAATTTTAACTATGTGCTTTTTCTGAAAAATAATTCATCATAAAGCACCAAAATTACACAAAGTAAACTGTTATCATATTTTCCTAAATGCTACAAATATCCCAATTTGGTGCTATCTCTATATGATTGTGTTTAATTATCTAACCTCAGATGTTCTGCTGCTTTCAGTACAAGCACTGCAAGATGACAGATTTACAGCTGCCAAGGTGTTCTAATAGGAGTGGCATTTCTGCAACAAAAACTTAATTGTGCCAACATTTGCACTTTGTGGGTCAAAAGTGTCAGAGGTTTTCCTGGACCAGGAAACAAATATAATTTTCAGATTAAGACATGGTTGTATCCCAACACTCATTACAAATGCAGAAGAGGTGATACACAGAGCAGCTGCTTGCTGAATTGACATTGAAGTGATGAACTTTTTAACCTGATTATTCTGTAAATTCTCTTCTACTTCAGACTGGTATCTTCTGCTGTAAAACAGCTGATGGGGATGCATATGAGTTTCTGAGCAACTTAGTATGTTGAAGTAGAAGACTTAAGTCCAGCCCTGCAAGAGTTTTTAGAAATGCACCCAATTTAGAAGCGTACCTAACTGGTAAGATTCTTCTAGGAGTCTCTGATCACCCTAGAAAATCAGTAATCACACTGATGGCAAGCCAGTGAGCCTTCCTTACCTCCAGACACAGATTGAGCCCACAGGCTCTCGGTTAACCACTGGGGTGGTGAAGGGTTCTCTAAAGCAGCAGTTGTGCTGCTTTAGAGAAGGAAACACAGTGATTAATGGAAAACACAGTCAAAGATAATGAATCATCTCAGCGTATTTTAATTACGGGCCCATTTGTGACTTCCAGCATCACAGCAGACTTCCATGCTCTGATTTTCTTGATAAGGTATTTGACTTGTTGTTAAAAAAAAAAAAAAAGTGTTCAAAAGTAATTCCCAGACTCCTGGGCTAAACACAGGTTTTCAGTGAGATTCAGAATAACAGAATCACAGAGTGAATGAGGTTGGAAGGTACCACAATGAGTAATCTGGTCCAACCTACCAGCTCAGACAGGGTGTTCTAGAGCACACGGAACAGGATTGCATCCAGACAGTTATCTCCAGTGAGGGAGATTCTACAACCTCTCTGAGCAAGCTGTTCCATGAATTACTATAGTTAAGTTTTAGGCAAGGATGGCCTCTACATTTTTTCTTGAAGAAAAAGAGATTCATGCAATGCTGCAGAAGTGCCATGGCTTATTTTTGAGGTGGACCTGGGGGTGCTGACACCCATCATTTATAAGAGAATGTGTGGTTGTTAGACATAATAGGTTAGTTGTGATCACTGCTACTGTCATCATAGGAATGATGTGCCAGTGCTCACCTGGGCTAGGCAAAGGGTGGATGATACGGTATTAGTCTGCTTAGGACTGACTGACATCACATAAGAGTGACAAAGTATTTAGGGCCATGTTAGAAATCTCAAAGCCAGCCTAGGTTTTTTTTTTGTTTTGTTTTCAGGCAAGATTTGTTTTGAGAAAGTGTTAAGATCATGTGAGCTGTGGCTGCAACCATTATTCTTCTACATGACATTCTAGTGGGTCCTCTTATACCTCCTTGCCTGTGCACCCACCTAGCCAAAACCACCACCAGAAAGTAATTCAGGGCAAATCCAACAGATTGTCCTGGCTCAGCAGTCAAAGTCACAGAGAACAGTCCAAGGCTTGCGTATATGGGTTTTCAAACCAGGGCAGAAATGGAAATTGGCTTGCTGTACTTGGTTCTTCCCATAAGGGTTTCTCTTTCCCTGATCTGTTTGTCCTCATCTTTTCTCTTTGCTTTCTGCTCTCCTCTCCTCTCCTTACTCTTTCTTTCCCCTTCTCCAGTCCCCTCATTTTGCCTTCCTTCTCTCCTCTCCCGAGGCGCAAGCTGCCGTCCCGCTCAGAGGGTGCCTCCACGCTGTCCCTTCCGCGCACGGCGGAGCAGCAGCCCGGGTGGCGGGCGGACCCCGGCCCCAGCGCGGCTCTGTCGCGGGGCTCTGTGCGGAGGGCGGCGCGGAGCCCCGCGGGGCGGCCGCCCATCCCTCGCTCCGCCGGCCGGGGCGGGCCCAGCGCCGTCCCCTCCTCCAGCCCGCGCGGGGGCCGGGATCGCCCCGCCGCCGACCCGAGCGGCAGCCGGGAGCGGAGCGGGCGCGACGCGGATCTGCAGGAGCTCCTCTCCTCCTTTTCCTCCTCTTCTTCCTCCTCGCCCTCCGCCCGGCGGCATGGCCCGGTGCGAAGCGGCGGCCGCCCCCGGGCTCTGCCTGCTGCTGCTGCTGCTGCTCCGCAGTGAGGGGCTCTTCGCCCCCGCCGCCGCGCAGCCGCCGCCGCAGCGCGGGAGCGTGTGGTGCCCCAGCCGCTGCCTCTGCTTCCGCACCACGGTGCGCTGCATGCATCTGATGCTGGAGAGCGTCCCCGCCGTGTCCCCCCAGACCACCATCCTGTGAGTACCCGGCGGGGGCTGCCGCGGCGGCCCGAGGCAGGGAGGGGGGCGGAGGGCGGCAGGAAGGGAGGGAGGGCAGAGGCGAAGGCGGAGGAGGGGATGGATACCTGGGGCGAGAGGCGCTGGGCTGGGTGGCGGCGGAGCCTCAGCTCTTTGTCTGCGGTCGGGGGAGGGGGCCGGACCCGCGGCGCTGGCTCTGCCCGAGGGGCCCGGGCGTCGCTGCGCGGCTCCGGGGCTGCGCTCGCCGCCCCCGGCCCCGCCGTGCCCGGAGCGCTCCTGCCCGGCTCCGGCGGCGCGGGGTCGAGGGTGTCGGAGCGGTGCCCCCGGCTCTGCCGGGCTCTTAGAGGTGGATGTTCTGGTTAGCGTGCGGGTGTTGTGTCCCAGCATAGCGGTCCCTAGAAGGATTTCAGTACTTCCGTAGTATCCTGTTTGAAAGCATATTCAGGCGGCAGGGGGATCGACAGGGACATAGGTGTCACTTTCTGCTCAATTCTTAGACATGTTGGGGATGTACGAGCAAACCGGGACCCAAGCCCTGGGCTTGCTGGTAACGAACCCGGCTCAGATTCCTGCAGGGATTTGCGAACATTAGTTAATAACCAGTTTTTTAGTTCAGGCACAAATGTCTCAGTTGAAGTGCCGTTCCTGTGGTCGCTGTTTTGGGTGTAATTGCATTGGTATAAATTTCAGTATTGACAATGATTGACATTTAATTCACATTGATTTGACTGAAGCAGTTACCTTTCCAGGCATATTTCCCTGCAATAAAGGCAAAGTTCCAAATGAACATCACACACTATTTTGTTTCGTGGCTTACTAAGAGGAACAGATTTGTTCCACTGACCTGCTTATATGTTACTTGGGCTCGGAGAGCTCTTGGCACCAGCCCTGCCCTTTCCTTACACACACTCAGCCGTGGAAGCTGAGCAGAACTTGGCCCTGGGAATTTTCTGCGGGGCCTCCTGTCATAAATTAACTTGTGACTTTGTCAGATATTTTCAAAAGGGGTCTATAAAGCCTTGCTGTGTTTCAGCTTCCAACTATTATTTAATGTGAAGAGTACAGTCATTTAGCATTAACTGAGTCCCTCTTTGGCAAGAAGTGCAGGCTTTTGGCAGAATTGGATTAGTCCTGCATTACTTGTAAACCTTTTAGGGAACAGTACAGGAAGTGGGTGGTTAATGTTTCTTACATTTGAAACAAAGTACATTTACAGAACACCTTTTGCCTTGAGATTACAGGAAACCGTGTAAAGCTAGTTTTTGTGAATCATCTAAAATGAAAAAAAAAGAAGCCTTAGAGTGGAGTCAAGTCTTAATGGCTTGGTTTTGTCTTAAAGGTGGAAGGGTCTGCAACAGCAGAAAATATTAGATTAAACCTTGCCGGGTGGAGCTCCCCTTACGGTGGGTATTTATACTCTTGCAGTGAGTCAGAGGAGAATGCGTGAACAATGCAAGCATTATACTCATCTAACTCCACTAATATATCAAGTTGTCTAGTATCCCAAATGTGAATTATCATTCTGGTAGAATGCAAGCTACCATGCTGCAGAAGTAATGCAGAAGAAGTTTATGTTTTCAGCTTGACAAAGAATGGTTGTTTTCAAAATATGCCTGCAGATTACCAGCATTCTTCAAAACCTAGTGGTGACCTTACTTGTCATCTAGTAATGGGTATTATCCTTTCTGAACAACTGACTGGGGAACTATTATAGATGAAATAGGCAGTATTACATCTGTAAATACTCACTTACTCCTTCTGCTACAGTTCTGCTGAATGGCTGTGAATGGAAAGGAGCTGGGTCAGAAGATAGTCAGGCAATATGAGTCTTTGGGACAAAGAACAATGGTACAATTGATTAAATAATCAGTAGTTTGAAGGTACCAATCATACATAAATAGCTTACCTGTTATATATGAATTGCTTGGTTTTAGCTGTAGGAGGTACTTTCAGAATAGCTATTACATGCCTGAGGTACTCACTGAATTACCACTCATTTTTTTTACTTACCTGCAATGTTGAACTGTAGTTCTACACTGCACTTCAAGAGGTAGCCCATCACCCACAGAGGGCTTTCTACACTCAAGAACAGTTTCTTTTTTAAGCATGAAAGTAAGCAGTTATTTAATCTCTGGTTTGACTCTCAATGCTTGTCTTTCAAGTGGTGCCTGGATATTAAATGAATTTTCTTTAGTAGTGGTGTTGATAGTTAGATAATTAAAAATAATAAATTATTTTAAATTGATTACCTTCCCCTTTCAAACAAAAATTTAGGAAATCCTGCGAAGTGTATGCTGATGGGTTAAGTCCATTTTTACTGGCATTGATAAATTCCACATTCTCATCTGTTTTATTTCTTACTTACAACATAGATTGACTGTGCAGAGTAATTTTTTAAAAAAATATCGCCCTAAGTTTTTCCTGGTTTATAAGTATTTTGCTGAGTTCTGCTTCTGAAAAATGCCCCATTTGGAAGCTGCATTGACTTTGCTCTACTTCACATATCATTTGTTACATGGATTAAAACAGCATGGGGCCCAGACCAATGGTGCAGCCAAGTGTTTTTTCCCACATATCAAAAATGTCTACTCCTAATCTCAGGCTCTCTTTTGAAAACTGTTCATAACATTACTGGTTGCTGACCTTGCCAGTGCTACTTCTGGCTGTACATTTTCTCACTCTCCCCTGCTCCTCCCACTTTCTGGCACTTCCCCTTCCCTGCTGCAGGCTCAGAACCATGGTTTAGATTGCTTCTGCAGGATGGATTCTGCCAGTTTTGAAAGAGCTCAGGGAGCCTTGCATAAGCTTGTGGTTTCATTTTTACCTGGGACAATTTTGGACTTTTTTGGACTAGGGCCAGCATCACAGTCCTGTGCCGACTTCCCTTAAAAATGGAGACCCGTGTACAAAATGGTTTGAAAAGCTACTTAATGCCATAAATACAATCAGGGAAATTTAATTTCATCTCTGACTAAATACAGAGTGCTTATTTTCACAGAAATTGGTGAAACATATTTATATTAAACCATTTAAACTGTTGAGGAATGTAAAATTCTGGGTATCGCCTGTTGCTGTCTCCCCCTCCCATAATTGTGTCCTGTCTTACAGTTTTTAGAGAATGTCTGTGTTCTAGAGCAATTTCATGTATGTGGTGTTGATAATTCTGACAGAAGACCTTTGAATATTGATGCAATATGTTACTATTTGTATCTAAACACAATCCAAATCCAAACCTCTCTACAGGACTAGCTACACATACTCAGACCAATACTGAAATTTGTTCGCAGTTTTTCTTGGCAGCACCTCATTGCTCTCTTGTTTCTTGCTAGCTGTACAAACAAAATTGTATTCACTGCACTTGAGTCTAACAGACTGAACAAGAAAAGAAACTAATGTTCTGTTAATAGCAGAAAAGGTAAAAATTGACAAAAATAGTTGTCACAAAAGAAAGTGGACTTCTTTTGCACTGAGAATGACATGCAAATTATTGAGGAGAAGATTTAATTTTGAAATAAGTCATTCTGTCTTTGCTATGTGATTATTACTTTAGGTGTAATTATTACACCTGCATGTCTGCTATGAATAAAACACCTTTTCAACATGTGAGTATAATTTTAAGTGATCAAACTTAATAGGACTTCTTAAGTTGCAGCCATTCCAGCTGAATAGCTTTTGAAGGTAGGCTCTGAATGAAATTGAAGGCAACAGTTTGTGTTGCATGTTACTGCTTTTGTTACATGATTCTTACACATACTCAATATTGGATAGTTTAGGGTGTGTACTTTTTTATTTACTCATTTATCAATGTATTTTAATTTCTGGTTTGTACTGTAGATGTCAAAGGGGGAAGCTTTAGTAATTTAATTCTATGGTGATTTTCTGGATAGCTGAGTGAGAAGTACTTACATTTTTTTCATCTCTCCATAAGAGCTTTTGCTGGAATCTAATGTATGTTCATAATGCCAGTGAAAACCATTATTGAGGCTTCCCAAGAGTATCTGTCTTAATACAAATAAAACCCCCACAACACTAAATGACACAAATCACATCTATTTGGAGAATATGTGAATCACAAAAGAGGTAGGGGTAGTGGAAATATAATGAAATTTCACATTTCATTGTTGATTTGTGCTAACATTATACCTCTTAGCAGAGATGTTTAGGAAAATGAAATGGGTGATATGTATGGAGACTGTGAGTGCAGAAGTCTCTGGGCTATCACAGCAGAAATCTGCATGCTGTTTGCAGATCTGCTATTTGAAATGATGCATTTTCAGCCTGCAAACAACCATCCCATTTTCATCTGAAAATACAAGATCCTTGTGTTCTGTTAGATCTTTGAAACCCTTTTAGAAAAATTCCAGTAGATTAAAATTAAGACGGAATACAATAAACACAACTCATCAGTGTGAAGGGTGAAGGATTGCAATCTCAAAATCTCAAATATGGACTGTGAGTAGACTTGATCACTTTATGGGTAAACGTCAATTTGCATGTAGGAGTTAGTCATGAGATAACACACCAGAAGATTTTATTCAAGATGCAGGGATTTATACTTACTTAATGTTAAAACAAAGAAGTACAGATTCTGAAGATTTATTTGAAGGGTTTGAAAATTGCTTAATACTGACACAGCTATTGGCACTCCTGATTGGGCAGCAAACTGCAGTAGGTGCCAGTGATGATTTTCCTTAATGACACAACAGGGGAGGGTAAAGCACAAGATTATTTCAATAAAATTTATCTTGCATCTTCCTTCATAGTACCTGGACCAGAACTCAGGCACTCAAAAGGGAACACCTTCATTGGAAATGATAATTTCTAACCTCAGACTATTGGGCCTGTGTCATAGCTGCTTGCTCTCAGCCTAGGACATCTAAATCAACAGTGGGCACCACTGGTCAGACAGCTGAATTAATTAGCTACTGTTTGGGCAGATTATTAATTTATTTGTGCCTTCTCCAGCCCAAGTGTGCTGACTAGTCTTCTGTTGACAATAA